TCCTATCTCTTGCCAACCCTCCACTTTTCCAAGTATGATGCCAGGCTCCAAGGAATAGCCTGTTTTAGCAACATGCCTGAACTATGCAAGGCAAAGTTTCACCATCTTTGCCTCCAGGACACACTCTGAATTATTTTTCCAAGACACATGCTGCTAGGGCTCCTTTAAAATGCTCACTGTTGTTCAGTGCCTTTGAGTTGAGTATGACTCATGGTGACCCTGTGAACAACAGATCTGAACTCTGTCCTATCCTGAACCGTCTTCATTCTTGACACATTTGAGTCAATTGCTGTAGACACTATCAGTCCATCTCCTTCAGGGTCATCATCTCCTTTATTGACCCTCTCTTCCTTTCCACACGATGTCCTTTTCCCAAGAAAAGGAAATAAGTGAGGTGAAGTTTCACTAGCTTTATCTCCAAGGAACAACCTGATTGCACTTTCTCTAAGATGTATGTTTGTTTTTTGGCAGTTCATGAGAGATGAACTCTTCTCAAAGACCACAACTTAGAGGCATCAATTCTTCTTCTTTCCACCTTATTCCTTATCAGATGCGTAGCAGGTGACTGGAAAGAGTGTGGCTAGAACCAAGTATACCTTAGTGTTTAAATGACATTCTGATACGGCCCAAGCACCATCTTTGCCAAGGAGCATTCAGACAAAGGGCAGCCATGAGTGGTACCAGATGCATCCTCATCAGGAGAAGTCAACAGACTCAGGCAGGCTCTGCTGGTATTAGGATTGCAGCATTTATTGACCAGTTTGCTATATTGGTTGGCAGACAGGTGGAAAAGTGTGAGTGAAAGACTTGCACTGTGATGCTTGCTTTGCCATTAGTATGTTTGTTTATTCACAGTTGCTCTTCTGAGTACAGCCCCTGTCTGTCAGTTACTGTACTAAGGTAGCTTGCTGGCTGCTTTGATGCTAGAAGCTGTGTCACCATTGTTTTCATGCGAGCAAGTCACACCCATGTTAGACAGGCTTCAAGCAGGGCTTCCAGAGAAAGATGGACTAAAAAGGAAGATTGGCTATCCACTTTTGAAATACCCAGCCTTTAAAAACACTATGAGCAACAACCAGTTGTTCATAGGAGGAGAAAATACTAGTAAGACATTGGATCTAAATGATGTTGATGGAGTAGTTTTTCCAAACTTTATTTTTTTTTTTTTAACCAATAAGTCCTTCTCCAAGCTGCTCCTTGGAGGCAAGGATTCTGGGGCTTCGTCTGACATACTTTGGACATGTTGCCAGGAGGGACGGGTCCTTGGAGAGGGACATCATGCTTGGGAGGGTGGAGGGACAGCGCAGGAGGGGAAGACCCTCTATGAGGTGGACTGATTCAGTGACTGGGATAATCGGGATGGGTGTGTCAGAGGCAATGCAACTGGCACAGGATAGAGCAGGGTTTAGGGCTGTTGTACATAGGGTCGCTATGAGTCGCAAACGACTCAACGGCACATAACAACAACAACAACAACAAGTCCTTCTCCAAAAGTGATCAAGAGTTTCAGGCTCCTGATTTGGTTGTGTGATCTTGAGCTGGGCTCTTGATGTCCCTGTACTTGCCTTGGCCAAGGTCATCTGTTGCTGTCTAATTTCCATTCTCATTGCCAGCACACCAATCTGCTAATGTCGCTCTCACATTTCTTCGGCTCATGGTATAGTTTAGCTTTAGAGAAAACCAAAGACATTACTCACAGATCCCTGATTGGCCCTCCCAGCTCCTATATCTGTCTTCAGCATCACTTCTCCTCTGCTGTCATAGCCTATCCCCACCCTCCCTGTGGTCACCTCTTGATAATCGTGTCCCACAGGAGGAAGTCTAAAGACAGAATATTCACAGCACGTAGCTTGTCGGTTGGGTTAGTGCTTTACTGTATCCTCCTCCTCCTCTTTCCTACACTTTTTCCTGTGTGAGACCTGGCTTTTTGCTGGAACTGATACATGCTTCACAGTCATATGCCTTTGTTCAAATTTGTCCCCTTACTTGGATGTGGCCCATCCACCTCTGTCCTCTTCACAGCAGGAGACCAGTTCACTGACAGACCCCACTGTTGCCCCTTTGGATCTGGCACCAAATTCATGTCAAGGAAAAACTTTATCTAAGCTGTTTTGAGCCAATGACTGAGTGTGGAGGAAGTAGTAGAACCAGCATGGGACTTGTCCAGTGGCCTACTTTTGTTAGGGCTTCCCCAGCGACCTGGCTGGAGTGTTTTCAAAATTGTCTGTTTTCAAAATTGTCTGCCATCCGAGCGTTATGTCTCAGGTCTTTGTTTTCTCCTTTCCAAGGTGTCTTAACAGTTCATCTCACCTAATCTATTCCTGTTTCTCTTCCTTTACCTAAAAAGCATAGTTTGAAGGCAGGTATTTTCTAGCTATGGCAAGGGCTAGGTTTAAATACTGGTTTCACCAATTTAAAATTGTATGACTTTGGGCAAGATATGTATGTAACTTTCCTGAGTCTGTTTGTAAAGTGTTTTAAGGATCAGATCACATTGGGTATTTGAATAACTAGTGATAAAAGTGGAAGCAGGAGTGGCATCCAATTCCTAAACAACATGCCTCTGAAAATGTTATGAACTTAGAGAAATGACAATAGTTACAGAAGTGAGCTCAGGTCTTTTGTTCATAGGGTCACTATGAGGCATGTTTGACTCTATGGCAATCATGAATAACAACATAGTAAGCTATTACTTGGTTTTAAGAAGACATAAGGAGTATATTTTGTTTTGTTTAAGGTGTGAGGATTGTCTCAGGATACTTGTCTTGGGATTCATCCAGCATCTGTAGTTCCACAAAGTCTGGATTCCTTGAGAATTTTAAATTCTGCTTTGTGTTTTCCTCATTTTGCTCATACTACTTCTACAGAATCTTTGATCAAATAATTCAGTAATGGTAGTTTTAGTCTTATGGTGGGGGCAAGGACAGTTGTTTGTGGAAGCAATAAGCCACACTTCTCATCTCCTCTGATTCTACATGGACTTCTTCCTTCTTCCTCTTTTGCTTGAGGTGAATAAAGACCAGTTGCTGTGCCTTGAATCACTACTTGCAAGCTCTTAAGATGCCTAGGACTGTGTGATGGACTAGTAGGCAGAGCAGAAGCATTAAACATGCTAGCTGGTCTGTTACCTAGGGTGCCCCATGGAGGTGTGACCCCAAACCTTCAAACCAAGAAACCAAATCCCATGAGGTGTTTGGTTGGATGTAAGGAGCCTTAGCAACTCCTTTTACTTCTTTATTATAAGAATGTCTATCATACAGATTTTTCCAGTTAAACTTTTTATAGGTGTGTGAGTTATTGATAGGAACTGCATCAATTGGTTGTGCAACCCTGCTCTTAATTTTTCCATAAACCAAAATACAGTATGGTCATTGCAGTCGTGAAGGTGCAAGGTTCGAATCCATCTGATGCTCCTCTGGAGAAGGAGGGACAAACTCCTCCCTGTGCCAGTTGGATCTGATTTGATGGTACACAACAAGAAAGGGGAAAAAAATCGTTTTGGGAGCACTGGTGTAGTGGCAAGAATCTACGCTGCAATACTGAAGGCGTGCAGTTTGAATCTACCAGATGCTGTGCTGGAGAAGGAGGGGCAGTCTCCTCCTGTGCCAGTTGGATCCAGTTTGAAGGAACACAACAGTATCGTCATGCACTGAGTAATGGCCATTTGGACAAAATCTGATTGCATATCTGTCTTCAGTCTTGGAAGGTGATGGTAGAATTCAGAGATCCTGCCCACAACATGTATGTTACAGCATGTCTTTTATTTACTAAAGCTGCCAGGTGTATAAATGGTATGATATATTTGTAACACATATAGATACATGTCTTACTGGTCATAGTAAATGTCCATGCTACTGACCTAGGTATGTACTCTTTCTGCTTATTGGATATAACATGTGCATTTCAGCTTCTAGTCAGCAGCGTCGAGTCTTGGGTATCATGTCCCTTGAGTGTTGTAGCATTGCCCCTCTCCATTTTTAGTTTGGAAAATATTATGAGAAATTTCCTAAATATGGCAAAACTAGTGTTAGTGATGGCAGCAGGGGAGAAGGGAGTAGTAGGGATCGGAAGTGAAACAAAGGCCTATTCAGGACACGAATGTGGAAGAATCTGCTCAGCGATCATGAGGAGCCTCAGAAAGGAAGGAGAAATCCTCTAAGCCGTTAAGGGATTGGCTCCACTGAGAACTAGGAGGCTACGAGGAAAGAAGGGCCTGTATCAGCTATGTATCGCGAATGATGTGCCTCGAGGACCGAACACAAAAGGGACCCCTCTCAGCACATGGGAGGTCAGTGCTAAGCCAGGAAACCTTCTGGAGCTCCTCAAAGATAAAGTGGGGGTGTTCTCGTAACATCCAAAACAAATGTCTTATTTCACAGAACGTATCATGGATGGTGAGCAGCTCAAGCCTGGGCTCCAGAAGCAGTAACTTCCCATTTTAGAATCCCGGAGTTTTTAATTCTAATCAGTCCTCGAGGGTCCAGTGGTAAGGAGGTGCGCTGCTAACCAGAGGCAGGCGGTTTGAATTCACCAGGTGCTCGGAGGGAAAAAAAAAGATGGGTAATCTCCTCCCATGAGAGTTACTGCCTCTGAAAACCCGGTGGAGAGTGGGCCAACTATGGGTCGGTTCTGACCTAAATATGTGGATAAATGTCTGTCACATGCTCCCGTCATTGCTTCTGGCCCCACCATCACTGTCCTCGTGTCTCTCCTCTGCTTGATCAAGCGCCCTGTTCTTCCCATCGGACTGCACTGTCCCCGGCAGGACTAGTCATGCTCAGTGAGGTGAGTTGGGCGCGCTGTGCCTTTGAGAGGCTGCACAGTCGTCTTGTCCGTGTGACAGTGTGAAAGATGTAGCCACATGGTTTGTGCATGAGGCACGTCTTCGTCCACCCTGAATGAGGGACTTCAAGGGGACACATTGATTTATGGAGGGCCCAGCTCACCTTTAGCAGCCTGGCCACCACGATTTTCCTTACATGTCTCATTTCTCCATCTAGGCACGCTGCAGTACATGGCTCCAGAGATTATCGATCAAGGGCCTCGTGGGTACGGTGCCCCAGCTGATATCTGGTCCCTGGGCTGCACCATCATTGAGATGGCAACCAGCAAGCCTCCGTTCCATGAGCTCGGCGAACCGCAGGCAGCCATGTTCAAAGTAAGAGGTGTCTGCTACTCTAACATGCAGAGGACATGTGGAATCTGTCTTTGGAGCACTGGCTTTTGGGGAAACGAGCTTTGGAGTAACAGATGGGTTTATCCATTGGGAATCTGAAAGGGCTCCCAGGTTTAGGAGGGGAACCCATGTGCTGTGGGCTCCTTGGGCCGCACTTAGCCCTACCGGTTCTACAGAACCACTTCCTAAGAGCTTGAGAAGAGACGAGCTTGGTTGAGGCCTCGTGGAAAGGGGCTGCCCATATAGCCCTGGGCATCCCAGGCCAGGTGTGCAGTTTGCGGCTCTATACATGGGTAGACATGTTTAAGAGGGTCTCTAGCCCTGGTTTTGCATAGAGCAGCCCCACCCCCAGGCTCCAGTGCTGAGAAACACGAGAGAGATTATGCAAAATTAGCTAAGGGGAAGTTGTTTCATGGATGATGAGACTACGGTGCAGCACACTGACTCAGTATGATGTATGCGATTCAGGATTAAGGAGATCGGTTTTCTTATCTTCTCCACCAATTCAGAGGCCCCTCACAGCCGGCTCCACCCTGCAGCCTCCCTCTTAGCCATGCCAGGCCCTCACCCCCGCCTGTCCCTCCAGCTCGGCCTCTGCAGGGAGCACTGAAAGGCCCAAGTGAGTGCAGGGCGCTGAGCCCCGCTCGAGTGCTGTGAGCTATGGGTCCCTGCCTCAGTTGCTATTCCCTGCCCGGCCTGTGAAAGGCAGTCAGACCTTCCTACCTGAACACTAGCTGCTGAGGCAGCTCCAGGGGTTGTGACAAGGGTGTGCAGAGCCTGCAATCAGAAAGTGACTGTGAGCTCCCGGGCTGGGAGGACAGGGCAGCAGGACCTTCCCTTCCCTTCCCCCATACTAACCTGATGCTCCATGATGGACCCACTTTTGACCCTGTAAGCACTCGCCTGCAGCTTCACTCCCAAGCCTTGGAATAAATAGTAACTGGGCCTGGGCCTTCTGAGAGCTGGGCTACTCATTTTCCAGCTAGCTGCTGAGCCTGAGAGCCTTGGACACACTGGTCAGCTGGCTGTAGGCCTCTCCAGCTACAGATCGCCCACCTCTTCTCTCTTCAAGATTTTTGCCAGTGCCTTCATTCTCTCCACCTCCCTCTCCCCCCACCTCCTCCCCTTTCAATGCAGGTAGGGATGTTTAAAATCCATCCAGAGATCCCCGAGGCCCTCTCAGCGGAAGCCAGAGCCTTCATTCTGTCCTGTTTTGAGCCTGACCCCCACAAACGTGCCACGGCCAGCAGCCTGCTTGGAGAGACCTTCTTGCGGCAGGTGCACAGAGCCAAGAAGAGGCGCATTGCCTTCAAGTCCTCAGGTGAGGCCTGCTTGGAATCACACCACCCAGCTTCTCACCCGGCACAGGAAGGCCAGGGACGGTGCAGCGGCTCAGGGGCCCTTAGAGTTGTCCCCCTACGACTCCCGGGTGTGACCCCTGACCTTGATGGCAGAGTCTGTCAGGGCCCATTGCAAGGGTTCCTTCTGGTGCTGGGTAGCCTCCAGACCACCAGAGTCACCAGACCTCTTCTATAGTAGTTAAGTCCTGATGGCAGTGACTTGAGAGATCCCCAATAGGACTGGGGGTGTGGTGACTCAGGTGTTCCCAGGCCAAGGTCTTCTGACCCAGTTTTCCCTTCCAGCTCATTAGAAATGCAGTCAGGGGCCCTGCTGATGGAGTGGGTGGTGTTTGGACAGCTCTGTAGAGCTTACCTCTTCTCTCCTCTGCCCAGAGGGGTCCCGGTGTGATGCCCTGGCCTTGCCCACCGTGGGGGAGTTGGTGGGCAACGGTGGTGGCAGCAGTAGCGAGCAGAGCTCCATCTCCCCTGACTCGGATGTGGTGTCAGAAGCATTCTTCGAGAGGGTCCCCACCCCCATCTCTGAGGGGGCCTCCAAGCACCTCCCCAGGTCAGTCCCCTCCTCAGGTGAGTTCTGCCCTGGGGAGGTTGGCCTGTGGGGGGACGCGTGTGCCTCAGGCCTGCATGCCAGGGGCTTCCTTCAGTTCTGAGCTACTGGGTTGCATGATCCACCTGGTTAGGAGCGCGGGTTAGTTCGCTCACTGTCAGGCGCCCCCCACCCCTTCCTTCTCCTCACCTTGCCTCTTCCCCCCTTCTGTCTTTGCCCTTTTCCTTCTTCCACACTCTGTTTTGCCCTTTACCAAGACTTCTCCCATCTCCCCCTTCCCCCCCCCTTTCTCTACCCCTCCTTCCGTGCTCTTCCCTTTCTCCCTCTTCCTCCTCCTCCTCCCTCCTCTCCCCACTGGCGCTGCTGCATTTCTCTTCAGATCCACACTGTACTGCAGAGCCGCCTTGTGTAATGTTGGGCTGCACGGGGGTGGGAGTGGGTGGGGGTGCGGGGGGTTGTCTTAGTCAGGAGCACCTCTGACTGTGGGTGTGTTTACGTGCAGTGTTTCCGATGAGAGTGCTGCCTTCTCCCCGGAGGACAAGGACCCTGGCCTGTTCGTCCTTTGCAAAGACAGCGAGCGCAGGGCCATCCTGTATAAAATCCTGTGGGAGGAGCAGAATCAGGTGGCTTCCAACCTGCAGGAGTGCATGGCCCAGGTACACGGCCGGGTAGCGCACAGTAATCACCGTATTTCCTAACTTCCTTCCACCAAAAAAAATATTAAAAACCACTGAAACATGATTTTGCAAAACACTGCAGCGAGTCTAGGCACGAGTGTGGTGGTGATGCCCCCTGGCGGTGAAGTCAGCCTAATGACACCCAAAAGCTGGCATTGGGGAAGGCTGCAGCGCCTGAGGGAGGCTGGATGAGGGTCAGTGAAAGAAAGGAAGACCGCCATCAAGATGGACCGAGATGGTGAGGACGGCACAGACTAGGACGGGTCTCAGGTCTGTTGAATTCTGTTCACATCAGTGATTTATTCATAGCAAAAATCTTTTATAAGAAACAAATGCAGGCTGTACACATGGATTTCACTTGAAGGGATGTACAGGAATCAGATCAATTACATCTGTGGAAGGAATTGTTGGAGAAGTTCAGTATCAGCAGTGTAAACTAGGGCAGGTGCTGAATGTGGAACAGACCATCAACTGCTCATATGCAAGTCCAAAATAAAACTAGAGAAGGTTAAATCCTATCCACAGGAATCAAAATTTAACCATGAGTCCATCCGTCCTGAGTTTCAAAACCATCTCAGGAACACGTTTGGGGCATTGGACATTAATGAGCAAAGACTGGATGCGCTGTGGGAGGATATCAAAAGTACCATCCAGGAGTAATGCAAAAGGTCATTACAAAGACAGATGAGGCAGGAGAGACCAAGATGGATGTGAGAAGAAACTCTAAATATTGCACTGGAGCACCGAGAAGCCAAAGCAAAGGGAAGAAATCAAGATTTTAAGCAGTGGAACAGAAGGTTCTGGAGGGTAGCGTGGGAGGAGAAAGTCAAGTATTACAATGAAATGTGTAAGGAGCTGGGGTCAGAAAATCAAACAGGCCAAACTCGCTCAGCAGTGCTTAAGTGTAAAGAACTTAAGAACAAATTCAAACCTCAAGTTGCTATAATAGTGATGCTTTAGGCAGAATATTAAATGATCCAGGAGGCAGTAAAAGAAGATGGAAAGAGTATACAGAGTTGTACCCAAAACAATTGGCTGACACAGAAGAATTTCAAGAAGTAACATGATCAAGAGGCACTGGTGATGGAGGAGGAAGTGCAGGCTGCTCCGAAGGACTTGGCAAAAAAGTGGCCACGGCCCCACCTGGAAGCTCGCGGCACCACTTCTGTGGAGACCCGGGCTTCTCATTTTGTCTGAGAGCGTGTGTCGAAGTGCATGTAGGGGAGAGCCGAGGCCTCTTGAGAACTTGCGGCCAGGAAAGATCTGGAAGGAATTCCAGGTCCAGGATCTTCTTACTGGGAACTCCACAATTCCATTAAGTGGCGACTTGTCACTTGGTTTCGCTCAGTGTGGTGCAGTGTTTTAAGCACAGACTGCTAGCTGAGGCCACTGGTTGGAGACCTGAGGCCACCAGTCGCTGCGGGGAGTCAGTCTGCTTCTGGAAAGATTCTCATTTTGGAGCTGCTGTGGGGTGATCCTATGTGGCCCCCATGAGTCTTAATTGACAGTCGATTTGGGTTTTAGTTCCTTCAGTACTTATCCCCACACACACACACTCTCAAAAGTTTTTTGGTCTTCTTCACTGTGACTTATCAAAGTGAAAAATGTTTCTTTTCCGGGGTTATGTGGGGACAGAGTTCAGAAGGGTTGCGGCTCTCAACTGACCACATCAAGCAAGTGATCGGGATCCTGCGGGACTTCATCCGCTGCCCAGAGCACAGGATGATGGAGTCCACCTTATCGAAGCTCAAGGTGGACCTGGACTTTGACATCTCGTCCATCAGTCAGATCCACCTGGTTCTGTTTGGCTTTCAGGATGCTGTAAGTGCTGTGTGCCCCGGCCTCCCCAATCCTAGAGAACATGCCAGAAGGCAGGGAGCCCCCTGAAGTGGGGCCCAAGGCTACAGACTTTGATGATTGCCTGCTCTCATCGTCCTCATCCTTAGTCACCCATGTGCCCTAAAGTCCAAAGTTTCTGCAGGGCCCTTTAAACAGTGTGCAAATCTGTGAAGCGCCATCCCAGTAAATGTGATTGACCATTGGCCGTAGCATTTGGGAACACCTTGTTTTCATCCAGACAGACTGGAATTCCTCTGGGCAGAACCACATCTTGTTTGTGTTTGGGCCTCAGCCACCCAACGTGGACCTGGGTATTTCCTAAACACTTAGTAAATGCTAACACCATGCACAGTTAAATGCCATGGAAAACATTGCTTTTGAGTCAGAAGTGACTCCCAACTGCCCTGCCAGTGGATTTTGTGGGTTGTTTTTATATTGCGTGGGAGGAGGGTGCCCATCTTTCTTCCGTAGAGCAGCTGGTTGGTTGGATCCACACGCTTTAGGTTAGCAGGGCATCCCCTTACCCTTTAGGCTACCAGAATTGTCTAGGAAAAACAAGAGTAGGGCAGAAACCCAGGTGTCATGGCTGACACCTGAACTCAGAGCACAGGCAAATTAACATTAGTAAAGGTTGGGTCATGTTCTTTCCAAGTCCAGCAGATTCAAAATGGCACTTTTTGGGGGTTTTAGGTAAATAAAGTTTTGCGGAAACACTTGATTCGGCCCCACTGGATGTTTGCCATGGACACGATCATCCGTCGAGCGGTGCAGGCGGCGGTCAGCATTCTGGTGCCTGGTGAGTGCGTGCCTGGTGGGCCTGGTTTGTAAGAAAAGTCCTCGGCGCCTAGTGTGGCAGCTTTTTCCGTTCCATCTCAGCTGCGCGCTTCCCTGCACACCAGTGGGTGCTGTCAAGATGCCGTGTTCTCTATCTCCCAGTGTTTGCATACCACCTTGGCATAAACAAGTGGACTGATCTCTAACGGGGATTGTTGAGCCTGTGGGTAAGGGTTCCTCAAGACCCTTGCTCCCCTCTTACCATTTTCTGCACACGCAGCCAAGCCTTCATTCTTGTCTGATCCAGTACCACCTCACCTCCTTTCTGGGAATTATTGTGTGGCAGCTATAGAAAAACTTGCTTTGGGATGGGGAGAAAGGTGGCCTGAAACCTGTTTTGTTGACATCACAGCTCTTGTGTTCATCCTGGACTCTCGTCCTCTTGTCTCCTACTGAAAGTTTTGTGTGAGCCAGGGCACAGAGGTCTCCTGAAATCCAGGGCGCCGTGTTCCCCACTCCAAGGCATGCTGCACCTTGCCGAGCTGTCCTCAGCCGACCCACTGCATGCCCGCTGGACGTGTGTGATCACAGTCACCCTGCAGAGGCCCAAAGGAAGAGTCTCCTGTCCTCTTAGGTGCTCGGTGTTGCACTGAGAAGGTGGCGTTGGCCAGGCCAGCCTCTGGGCAGCCTGGTTAGCTGGGACAGAAGTGCCACCAAGCCGTGGCCTTGCTGAAATGCTCTTCTGATAAAAACCAGTTGCTCCTGGGTTACCTGTGACATGTGATAGGCCCACATGTAACAGAGTAGAAATGTGATGCCTCAAGGGCTTCCAGTGACTGACTTTTCAGTAGATCTTCAGGCCTTTCTTCCGAGGTCTTCAACCACATGGTGAGTAGAAGAGCCCAGGAAAAAGGGTCTACTGTCAGTTCTTTGACCATTTTACAGAGCTCCAAGCACAGTTTGACCCGGCCTCTGACACAGAAGGGCTGAACAAAGACGAACAGATGGATGCAGACTCCCTGCCGGCAGAACCTCATGGAAGGGCTGACCCCGCTCACTACAGAGGGAGCCCAGCCGAGCCTGCAGCCTCCCCGGACGCCCAGGCCCACACCCAGCAGCACCTGAGCAGCCAGTTGGCCACGCTCAGGCAGGAGACCACCAAGTGAGACCCTTCCCTCTGTGCACCTGGGAGAGGGGTAGGGGGTGACCAGACCCACAAGGGGCCTGGCTTAGCGGAGCTGGGTCTCAGCAAAGCCCCGAAAAGCTGAAATGCCGGGTTGGTCATCTGTGAAGGGGGGCTAAAATAGTGCTTCCTCTTTCAAACTATATTGAAACTCAGGAGGTAGAGTCCCTGGCCACACGGGGATTCGCCACCCGAAAACGTACCCGCCGTGGTATTTCCTTTTATCAATGCGGCCTTCAGGTAGGCTTGGCAGTGGCATCAGCCCGTCCTAACACATGGCACAGCTTTGAGGGCAGCTGGTACTTTGTCAGTGGGGGTGTCTCCTCGTTGTGATGTCCCCATTACCCAGCAGGTAGTGGCAGCTGCCTCTGGGCCCTGCACAGGGGACAGTTCGGGTCACTTCCTGGCATACCATGGACACTCCCTTCAGTCTTTAAGGGAACAGACTGACTCCTGGGCACTGAAGGGGACCATACAGTCCACCCTTGAACAGTATGGGGGTCAACAGTGCGGGCCCACCCACATGCAGGGCTTGGGGGTTATGTTTCGGTTTTTAGTTCTTTTCCTGTTGCTTGTTCAGTGAGCTCAAGTGCTATAATCAGCTCTGTGGAAACAGGGAGTGTTTCTGGAGGGAAAAGCTCACTTGCTCATTCACGCAGGTCGTCAACCTCACTCGACATTTTCCATTAACTCAACATAGTATAAATGGGGGATGGGGAAGAATCTGCTTTAAGAGGGTCTGTGCAGTTCAGATGTATGTTTGAGTGCCAGTCATGTGTAAGTTAGATGGAAGTTCTTACTACGGCGGGGGGAGTGGTCCTAAATTGACATTATTCACCGATCTAATCTACAGCTGCAGCCAACTCACTGGTCCTTGTTTCAAGTGGATAGGGGGCCAGGGGTGCAGATTTTGGGGTGAAAGATGTGTACACCCCAGCAATTCCTGAAATTTAAGGCAAATCCCTTTTTGAAGATACCTTAATTTTTACTTAAATGGTAGTTACTATTGTCATGTGACCCACGGCTGACCCTCCAATGGGTTTTCAAAGGCAGTAAGCTGCAGAGAGGCGACTGCCTGTTGGTCCCTCCGAGGAGCTGCTGGACCTGAACCAGGTGCCTTTGGGTTGGCAGTGTAATTCCTTACCACCCGAGCTCCCTAAGTAAATGGTAGTGACTTTCTTGTAATCAGTGGCTGGCTAGCTTCATGGTGGAGGCTCCTGAGCCTGGCAGAGGGCAGTGGGAATCAGTGCAGACCTGAACCCACAAAACACAGGAAGAATTTGCTGATTGCAAACCTGACCTGAAAAAAGTCATTTCTAGTTAGTGTGTGGTTCCTCCCAGTGTCCCGTGGATAGCAGCCGTCTCCTCTGCCAGTGGAAAAGGGCGACTCGTGGGGAAACCAGGGCACAAACACAAAGTGCCATTCCGGGGTGAAAGTATGGAACGGTCCCATATGGAGTGTATTTTGAGGGCAAACTGATGATCTGGAAAAGGTCTAGTGCACTAGTGAGGAGCCCCCAAACCAGAGGAATCCATTTTCCTAGATAAGGGCACCCCCCCTTTCCCTGGGGGAGGATGGAGTGTTCAGGCTCAGCTAAAAGACCTGCCACCACTTTATTAGGAGTCAGGGTTAGGGTTATGATTAGGAGCTATGATAAATGGACCAGCCTCTTCTGACCCAGTTCTCCTGGAGAACATTAAGTTCATTTGTGGCTCATGGTATAGTGAGACAGGATACACCACGCTGGTGCTGTTGTGTTTTCAACTAGGAGGGAAACACAAGGAAGGTGTCCCTACCCAAGTCGACAAGGAGTCCTAGAGTTCCTTTGGGGAGCAGGCCTATGTCGGGGTGCTCCCAAGTGCTCTGCATGATGACTTTTTTGTTTTTTTTTAAAACTAGGCTTTTGGAACACCTAATTCAGAGAGAGAGAGAGCACCAAACCATTCTACGGCAGACTCTGGAACAAAAGACGCAAGAGCTGTATCACCTTCAGTTATACATCAAGTCTAATAGTGAGTCATTTTCTCCCAGGTCTGAGTCGTGTGTGGAAGTATTCTAATAGATCCTAGAATGTTGCCTGCTATTTTCAGGCACAGTGACACCTTGTTAACTGCAGAACAGCCCATTTTCGAAGCTGACATCTTCATGGGTACATATACTTTCAAATCTGTCTGCTGCAGAGCTACTGGTCAGGTCCCAACCACTGACCTTTGGTTTAACGACCATGTTCTTGGATATATTCAGTAACATGGACAGATTACAAACATATTAGGCTATGTAATCCAGGGCTACATATTATGATTCCATTTAAAGAATGTTCTGGAAAAGACAAAACTGGAAGGTCAAAAATCTGAGAGTGGCTGGAGGTGGGATACTGAATAGTAAACATTTTGGAGTTATGTAAATTACCTTGGCTTTGATCATGGCATTTTTCAAATCATAGCATCAAACAAGGCTCCAGTATGTACATATTTAGTGCCAGTTAGGGACGTGAGTCCTATAGAGGGGGGTGGACAGCATTAAAAGGTGGAGGAATTGGATGGAATCTCTAGCAAGGAGTTATTTTTTTTTTCCTGTAATAACTAAATGATGGAGAACACTTCATACATTTCCACTCTGGAAGTTTACTGCATGTACCTGCTTAGGCGAGGCACACCTATTAACACACCAAAAAACATTGCTAATTATTACAGGGACCCCGGAAAACAAAGCCCCTCACTGTGGGCTTCCTGGGCAAAGAACAGATCAAGAGCTCGTGGGCTGGCTGCAGCGGCAGGGGGCAGACACCGAGAGCATCCACAAGGTCAGTCTATCGTCTGTTCTTGCTCTGTGGTTAAAAAGCTGCTGAGTGCTAATAGATTTGCTTTTTGTTTCAGATTGCTGAAGAGGGTTATACCCTTTCTGATATTCTTAATGATATCACTAAGGAAGATCTACGATACCTCAAACTCCGGTAAGAATCACCTAAAAATTATTCTCATGCACCCAAAATACCTAAGTGCTAGCAAGTCTCCTTTAATGGAAATGAATGCCTGTCATCTATCCTCGTTCCAGACTCAGTTTTCCTCAGTTGACCGAGCAGGCAGAGAACTAGACTCCCCTTCCTGTTACTTTTAATAGCCTGCTTTGTAGGAAAACATTAGTGTAACTTTCTACAGTAAGGATGGCTTCAGAAGAGTAGGTGCCCACATCTAGCAGGATGTGCTGTGGGTTCTGCCCCGAGAGGCTTCTGAAGCAGTGCACTGTTTTCCGCTCCTGTGACACTAACGGGCTTGTCTGTCTCGTAGCGGCGGTCTGCTCTGCAGGATCTGGAATGCCATCTCGCAGCACAGAGCCCAGGAGCCCTGCAAAGCTGGAGCCAGCATGCCAGCCTGGTAAGGACTTTGTCGTGTTCCAATATGGGCTGTTTCCCTCCAAAAAAGTGAGGAACTTGACCTGGAAAAGCCTACCCCTTTCTGAAAAGGAGCACACTGAGAGTGGGCATCTCTGAAATGCATACATTTCACATCAATGACAAAAAGCAAAGCAATATAGCAATGGTTTTATTTAAAGTAATACAAAGCCTGGAGGATCAATTTTAGAATATACATTAATATTCATTCAACGTGCAGTAAAATTTAGGGGAAAATAAGGTTTGCATTTATTTTATATAGATGTAAATATTCTTCCTACTAAAGATAAACATGGAGAAAATGAAACCTTAATGTAGTATATACCATGTGCCTCCGCACAGGGAGGTGGTGCTGGCTGTTCAAGGTCTAGGAAGTACTCTCGTCAGGATATGGATTCTCCTCTCGTAAAGATAGCATATACAGAGAGAATTTAAGGAATGGCAAACGGGGACCATAATGAGCTCTAGAAAATTGAACTGCAAACCTTATAGAAAATGCATGCCAGTAAGATCCCTTCAATGTACACAGTATTTATCCTTAATGACGTATAGAAGATTTGTTTTATGAAGGGGTAGTAACATTATTTGCACGCAGTCTCTCTTTAACTGATGGACTTATACTTGATCCACTGATTGGCACCTCGAACCTCAAAAGGTGGCTCAGTGGAGTAGATGTGATAGCCTAACTCTTCCAGGGCTGGTTCAGGATCAGCTGTAGCAAATTGGGCTGCATCTTCAATTTCCTTCCTTACTTCCACATCAATTTCCTAAAAATCAGATTACAATTTGAGATGTTCCTTCTTAATATTCTAATAATTTTGATGTTTTAAAGCACTGCAAAGAACTGTACCTTTAATTCTTCAATACTGGCAAGGTTGCTGTTCACCAATCTATCCTTGAGAAGCCTAATAGGATCACTTTTGCTTCTTACTTCTTGAATTTCTTCACGTGTACGGTAACTAAAGCAAGGAAAACGTTATCAACAGTTAAGGGTTTCCATCTCAATGTCTATAGCACTGTAGCTATGTTGGAGCTCTATTTTCTAACGAGTAACCACATATTTCAGAGTTCCTATGTTCTACAGGACATGGCAATCGTCCTTCTTTGTATGTTAAACATTGCTGCCCCAGAAAGGTGCCTTTCCCCCTTAAGGCATCAGCGAAGGAAGGATAGGCAGATTCTGCCTTTAAAATACATCCTTTAAAATAATAGCCCAAGTAAGGAACAGTGTTACCACTATTTCAAGTGTAAGCCCTAGAACAATTATTTTTGTTTTAATTTATTGCCTGTACCAAATTCTTGGACATTTCAGAATGTTTTCATGTTGTAAATTATTTAGAATGTAAAGATGACTGGTGTCTTTTCACACACAAATCGCAGGGATTTACATCTCTTACCTGATTCCCGGGTCACTCATACTGTGCCCATGGTAACGGTACGTCTGCAGCTCCATCACAATGGGTCCCTGTGACAAACAAGATGTGATTTTATATGAAGACTTGCTTTCAGTAGTTCTGGTGTTAAGTTGGAGTCTGTTTATAAGAGGCACTCCCAGAGGTGGAAATCCATCCCCCCCTGGCCCTAGAGCCCCTCATCTATATTCAAACCACATGCTGCAACTCCTTAACCTTTGGACACTTTGCCTCCGGAGATACTGGTTCTCATTTGTATCATTAACTGACACCCTGCTATGGGGTAGGTGTCACTGACTTAAGAAAAAAATTTTGATGGTACTCAGGAGCTGCCATGGCAAGTTAAAATGTATACATACAACAAGCCCTTCAATTGGGGGAAGAGATTAAACAAAAAGCAAATGCTAACGTAATATTTCTAAAGGGATGCAAAGATGCCTGACAGACAAATGTTACTGGGAATCATTAGTTCTGTAGCCTAAAAACTCATCTTACCTTTCCAGACCTGCAGTATGCAGCTGCAAATTTTGTAGCCTCCCGGACACACAGGACATCCATTCCATCTACCTGTTCATAAATAGCGAAAGGGTGTAAGTTTTAGGCTGTGTACTGAAAGGCCAATACTTCCAACGTCAACACCTCCAAACCACCATTGCTCCTTGGGAGAAAGAGGCAGCCGTCTGCCCCATTTAAGGTGTTCACCCTTATTTTTGTTTTAGGGAGCCCTTACCCGCAGTCCAGGGATAAAATCGCCTCTCTTATAGTAGTCGGTGCTGGCTGCTGCTCTCTCCACAGATGTGCCCATTCCGTAGCGGTTGTTCTCGCAGACGAAAATACAGGGCAGTTTCCACAAAGCTGACATATTATAAGCTTCAAATATCTGACCCTGCAAGCAATCATAACATGTGTGGTGGTGGTTAAAAAGATCTAGAGTTTATTATCGGTTATTGTGCAATCTTAACAGGAAAAGGCACCCAATTTATACAGCTTGATCATGTGGGAATAGGTGAGTAAAGAATGGTTCTCAGTCCTAATGCAACCATGGATAGTAGCTTGACGAGGATGAGTGTAGAAGCAATGGAGGCAATTTGACACTACAGTAGGAGCGCTCTGTATGGGGAGTTCTGGTGGCGCCAATCCAAAGGCAGCCACTTTGAATTCACTAGGTGGCGCTAGGGAGAAAAATGGACAAAAACCAGTTGGAGGGCCTGTAATGTGTTGGAAGGTTAGAAAAAGGTGCCCTTTACAAATGTGGGAAGGGGAATTCGTAAACACAGAAAACATACCTGATTAGCCGCACCATCCCCGTAGAGAGCCAAACAGATCTCATCTTTGCCATTGTACTTGCAGGCCAGCGCAATGCCAGCTCCCAGGGGCACCTGCCATTAAGGACGACCAAGAAAGGAATCCGTGATTTGAGGACCAAAAGACTGCTCTGGCTAGAATTTGTAAAATGGCACTCTCGCAGCAAACATCTTGTACCCTACACCCAGTTATTTTAAAAAAATAATAAACTGAAGAGGTAATATGATTGTTGTATCTAGCTAAAACCAATGACATTTCTGCTTATAAAAATATGTCCAGCTAGTCCCACTTTAAACCTAGGTGGTTCCCATGCAAGTTTAGGCTTCTAATGCTCTCAGTCTCGTGGCTCTGGAGTATAATGTACGTGACATGTTTGGAAGGCAGCCCTTGCGCACCTGAGCTCCCACAATGCCATTGCCCCCGTAGAAGTTCTTGGCGTACATATGCATGGATCCTCCTTTTCCTTTAGCACAACCTCCTCTTCGTCCTAGAGATGGCAGAATACACGTGAGCATCAAATACACACCCCCAAAAGTTAGTGAGAAAGCACAGCTCCTAAGGTAATCAGATTCCAGCAAACCTGTGCCTCCTCATGTTGTTGTTATGTGCCGTCGAGTCGCCTGCGACTCATAGCGACCTTACGTACAACAGCCGTAAACTAGGCTCTGTCCTGTGCCAATCTCATTGCCTGTGACACACCCATCCCAATTATCCCAGCCACTGAATCACTCCACACTCCCCAGCATGATTTCCCACCCTCTCCAAGGACCAGTGTCTCCTTATAGCATGTCGAAAGTATGTTAGATAGAGCCTCAGAATCCTTGCCTCCAAGGAGTAGCCACGTTTAACCCTTTCCTGGACAAATCTGTTGTTTTCCTAGCAGTCCATGGTATTCTCAATACTCTTCTCCAGCACCACAGCTCAAAGGCTGTGAATTTTCCTTGTATCCTCCTTGGTCATTGTCCCACTCTCTGATGCGTGACAAGTGATTGCATAGACCATGGCCTGTATCAGACGCACCTTAGTCTACATAGAGACACTGTTGCTCTTCAGTAGTTTGGAGAGGTCCCTAACAACAGACTTTCCCATGGCAATGCACCTTTTAATTTCCTGGCTGCTGGTGCCAAGACTGTTGACTATGGAGCCAAGCAAACTAAAGCTGTGTACAATCTCAATCTCTTCAACATCCATCCTGATGCTGCCAATTGGTCCAGTGGTGAGAATCTTTGTCTTCTTGACATTGAGCCTCAATCCATATTGTAGGCTGCAGTCCTTGACACTCTGCAGCAGGCGCTTCAGCTCCTCTTCACTTTCAGCAAGCAGGGTTGTGTCATCCGCATAACGCAGGTTGTTGAGAAATCGTCCACCAATCTTGACCCCACATTTCTCCTCATAGAGCCCAGCCTCCCTGATAATCTGTTCTGGTTGAAAAGGCATGGAGATAGGATGCATCCCTGGCTGTTTTGACAAAGATGCGGTTTGATCCTCTCATGCGGTTTACTGTGTGTGCAAACGCACTGGAGGATCAGTTATGAGTTGATTCTGACTCAATGGTATATAACAGCAGCAGCATGTGGTGCATTCTATGGAGTCTTTTATCCGACTGACTCGGGTAGGTTCCCCTCTCCCCCTTAAAAATGGTAATCACATTATTAAGTTATTATTAAATGTTATTAATTTTCCCCTTATGTAAATCACTAGCAAACCTGTTAGCTCTGCGAGAATTTCTCGGACGGAAAGACCACGAGTAAAGGTAAAGCCGTGAGCCCGGTAGGCTGTAATGAGATGATCTGTGGGATTGATACCAGCCTCAAGTCCCACGCAGCACGCCTCCTGCATTGAAGAAACAGGGAGGTTAACACAGTTCTAGAAAAAAAGTCACTTAGGCTATCCCAACGCAAAAAGGGTAAGGTCCAAACTAGAAGCCATTCACTACAACAGAAGACCTGGGGTTTTTCTATCCTTAACAGGTGTTTAAAGGCAAACCAGGGGGGAAAATTGGTATGATTGGGATAAGGGACACCTGACCCAAATCAGGGTTATTAGTTGGTTAGTACTTTCATCTGTGGAGGGCGAGAAGAACCAAGGATTGAAGAAATAAGCCCCTAAAAAAAAGGCATGTGCTCATTTGAAACCTGGATAGTGTTGTGGAAAGGTGATGTGTTCTCAACATCCAAGGACAGAGGTTTGAGGTAAGGAGCAATGGGTAGAGAGGGGGTCCTTCTCATATATAAGGCAAGGCAAAAAGAAATGAATACACTCACCTGACCATCACACAGGTGGCAGAAGCCGCGGATGACTTTCTGTTTATAAAGCTGATCAGCCTTTAATTCCATCCGGCGGACAGTCTGCATCATTCTGTAGTATTTGAGGCCATCCTCCCTGGTGAGCACAGCTGTAGCAGGGGGGCCCTCTTCCAGTCGATGAACATCACATTTCTTAAACAAAGTAAGGCATTTACCTCCCATTTATTAAATGGTAAACAGTGCTGCTTCACTCTACAAATCTAGCTCTAACTTTAAAACTTTAAATGAAAAGCAGCAAAGATTTGAGAGAAGTGGTCCATGCTGCTTCTGATTCTGTCAATATACAAACTTTCCTGTTGGATGCGATGGGTTTTTTGGGAAAGGGAGTCTTGTCAATGATAACTTTCACTTCCCCCGTCCTTAGTTTTCCCATTTAACAATCATACACATTTTGTGTTGTGACACTGGCTGCAATCTTTATATAACACCTTCCCCACTCCCTTGGGTTCCCAGGTTCAAATCATCCTTTCCTGCTCCTTTTCAGAGTTTTGTGGTTGCTTTCAAACAGTTGATTTTAACAAGAAACACACTCCTCCCTGGTGTTATTAAAAGCTAAAAATAAATACTATTAACTCCTGTCAATGAATCAATGACCTTAAATCAGTTGAATTCAGTATTTATTACATCTACTTCAATTAAATATAGTTCTAACCTTAGGTTATACAAATATGACACTAAAAATTAGCTCAAATAGTGTTCAGGAAAAGAACATTACATACTGAGATACATACATCGCAGTCATAGAAGGCAGTTACAACTAAGATGAGAAATGCACATTGTTCTAGTTACTAAAAAATCATCTCAGTCTAGTAGTGACATTAAAATTACCATCAAATCACAGTTATGTAGAGAGTTTTACTTACATTATGAAAAATGGAAGTGAAGGGAAATTAATGAAAAATACTTTACAATACTTCTTTATGATCTCCATTTCTGGTCAATTCTCTTAAGCTATGGACCCAATTGGGGCAAAATGCAGATTTTAGAGACCATTTCACAGAATAGTTTTTCATTTTTTAGTAAAAATTGCTATTTTAATGCAAGTTAACAGAAAAGTTGGATTTTCACAAGACTAATTTTTTACAAATGCTAGTGAGTAAGGGCATTTATCAGAAGTGGCTCATTTATTCTGGAAAATTCCTGTCACTGTTGTGTTTCCCATGCCACCTCCGGTCAGTAAACTAGAGAGAGTTTCAAAGATTGGAGTTTGGAAACAAACTGATGCTTTAGAAGAAACTCGAAGTGTACCTATGGAAAACACAAATGAACACACTTCTTACCTTAATTTCGAATATAGCATCATTTGCAAAGTTACGGGATGCCAAAAGCACTCTGCTAGCCTTTAAAAACCAAGAAAATACATAAATTAATACATTTCCCGTTTTTTTCTCTCATTTAACCCATTCACGTATGGTTTCTGTTCTTTAAAAACTATTACTAGGTAAAGATCATTTCCATGTTCCACAACCCTAGGATGAACAGGTTCTGATGATGATAGTCTGTTTTCATTTCTTTTCCACTTTTCATTCCAGGAAAACGATCATGCTATTGCTCTAAGACTGGAATGAGAAAGACCCAGGAGAATGCATAGTTCACACTAAATAAAAGACACAAAAACCAACACAAAGCCGATAAAGTTCAGAATCACTGGGATGTTGAAGGTGTCAAGCCATGATTTTGTGGGAAACTAGATTCATGTACCACAGTACCAAGAAAGAACATCTTTTCACCCTTTGTGAAGCAAGAGCTATATCTACATTATCCCCAGCATTAATGGTGATAAGGAAGTTCAAGGGCTGTAATTCAAGTTGCTCAACCAGGACAGCTTCCTGAATGTGCACACAGGTACCTCAGCCTTCAGCCTAGCAGCTTTTCAAAGCTCTTAGACCCTCCAAATCCTGTCATTCCCCACCCCCCACCCCCCCCGGACTTCAAACAAACTTGGACAAAGGCTCCTAGCTAGTTTTGCTTCCATGGGACAGGAGTCCCAAGGCCAGCTCTGTCCTGGATTGGTCTCTGGTTCTCTATTACAGCTGCTGCTCCTGCAGGCCCTGGTCTGAGGGTAGCAAGAATTTTCATCCCCAAAGGACTCACACTGAATTCACTCAATTTAATGGGAAGACTAGCCAATCCCCTTTTGAACAGACCAGCATACCCGTATCCATCCATATGGCAAAGTCAAACTCAATGGCTATGAAAGTCATTTTGGACAATGAACCCTTGACAGCACATTCAGTTTTCAACATGTAGTCCTGGAATTTTAATAAGCCCCAGTGTATCCATGCGTTTGCTAATCTTCCATTCAATTCCCTATATTGGGACCTTTTTTACCCTTCCCAAATAATCCCTGCTTTGGCTCATTAGTTAGTGAACCTTCAACATCTGAAGTATACCAGCAGCAAGAGAGATGGCAAACCCTAAAATAATTTACACATTTTTCAAAAAGAAAGTTGACAACAAATGGGTTAAAAAAACCATGGTACAGTCACACAAATGCTATATTGCCCAGCACTGAAAAATACTGAACTTATAAAACATTACACAGCACAGAGGAGCCTGGAGGACATTATGCTGAGTGAAATATCTCAGTCACAAAAGGACAAATACTGCACAACACCACGGTTATAAATCAAACATATGGGAGGGAGGTTTGGACAAGAATGGGAAAATAGTGACTAGTACTGAACACTGCATTAGAGCAAAAGAGGGGAAGAACTATTTGAAAGGAATATATGATTAAGCATTATATGCATGACAACAATCTGGGACAAGGGATGCATTGTAGGGAGGCCTGGGGGGGGAACAAATTGTGCAACAATGGGAAAAAAACCATTTTTCATGTTTAAAAAAATTAATTACCTTCTCTATGTAGCAAGAAATAAAGAATCTGTTCACTTTTATTTTGAACAACTTAAAGCTTACTCTAGTGGCCAATTGTTAAGAAGCTGCACTGTCAACCAAAAGGCACATATAGAAGAAAGATAGGCAATCACCTCCCATGGGATTTACTTCAGGAAAATCAGCTATGGGTCAGTTCTGACTCGGAACAGGGCAACACACAGAGAAGCCTGATAAAGCTCCTCCAGAGCCCTAGAAGAGAGACAATTGTTGCCCTCTTGATGGTGGCTGTCAACATAGAGGGTGACAGAGTGGCAAGCTTGGGAAAGACTTTCTTGTATTGCTGAGTTCTCAGCACTGTTCATGGCAAAACTATGACGTGGCTAAAGTCTAGGTTAGATCACACACACACAAACTCAATATACTGATAGATACTACGCCATTTCAGTCACACTCCAGTATATTGTCTCTGAATGTTTTCATACACTGCAATGCAAACATGCATCTATCATAGGGACTGCAATCAGATCACATTAAAAAATGTTTGCAGTGTTCATAAAATACATTTATTCTCCAAGTTCTAAAACTAGATAGACATTTTGCTGAAAAGGGTTAAGGATGACCTCAGTGTACAGTTCAACTGTACAAAGCAAAAGGCAGTAAGCTAACAACTAGTTCCTTCAGCTATCAGTCAATATTCCACTATCTCATAACAAGCAGTGAGAAGTCTGCTGAAGGGAAACTAACACTGAACTACCAGAAAGAAATAGTTTTCGTTAACTTAATAGTGAAGGGTTCATGAATCTAAGTAAAGAAAAATTGATACTTTGGAGAGAAGGATGAGAAAAGGCAAGACAGGAAAAGTTACATTTTGCAATCAGAAGATTGGCATGTTATTTTTGGCAGGTAATTATTTTGTAAAGCCAGAAATACACATTGTATTGCAAAATAAAGACATTTAAGGCATCACAATTCTTAGAACTACAGACCAAACCAGCTGGACAACAATGACAAGAAAAGGCAAATCCTTTTCTTTCTGTCCTAAGATCCGAACAATGAAGGATGACAAGCAGTACTGGCTAAGACCAGGAAGCAATCTACTTTCTCCCCTTGCTTCGTCTCAGTACAGTCAGAGTTAAATGAGATGCCTGTTTGACAGAGATCAGGGCTAATCCATAATTTTTTTTTTTCCTCCTTCAAATGTTGCAAGACCTACTGGTGCTGGTTAAACTCTCTGGCTGTGAACCAAGAGACTGTCACTTAGAACTCACCACCTGGCTCGGAGAAGAAAGATGTGGCCATTTGCTGCCTTAAAGATTTATGGGGCGGTTCTACTCTGTCCTTCCTCTAGGGTCAACTATGAATCAGAACTCACATACTGGTGGTGGACTGGGTTTGTATGGCTTTAAAAGTTTGGACAACAAAGAAACCTTAAGTTTCTAATACATGAGGACCAAATTCCAGGTTCTAACTACTACTGAAAAAAAAAAATCTCACAAAATGACAAGTAAGACTATTAACACAAAGAATAAAAATTTCAGCTGTGATTCCATCTTCTTACATAAAACAGAACTCTGAAAGATCTCAACCTCATACAAAGATGAAAATTACAAGAGCTCAAGTAATGTCAGTTACACTGGGCTCTTCTGGCTTTTAGAGATTCTGAACAAATGTACATTAACTCATACAAAACCAATGCCCAGAAACACACACTTTCTAAAAGAAGAGCTAAAGAAACCCATGATAGAAGACACTGTAGCAAAAACCTCCCGACCAAGACAGCAAAAGAGAAAATTCTCCCAAACATTTTCATAACTGACTATTAAAAACAAACAAAAACCAAACACAAAATACAGAAAAGGTCACTTCTTAAGTCATTTTTTAAGGCTAGAATTATGATACCAAAGCTACTAAAAAAAACCCGACCAAATAAGGATCAATATCCTTAACAAATATAAATGCAAAACTCCTCTACAACATATTAACAAACTAAATCCAGAAGCCTATTAAAAAATATAACCCAGGCTTGAAAAGGCAGTTCAACATGAGAAAAATCAAAGTAATAACAGATTAACAGAACAAAGGAAACAAACCACATGACCATCCAAATTGACAGAGAAGCAATTTGACAAAATCCAACACCCTTTCATGATAAACACTCAAAGAACTAGGAAATAGAAGGTAAAGTCCTCAGTAAGATTAAGGGTAATAGTGAAAAAACCCACAGCTTAAACATACTTTGTGGAGATAGAGATCTTTCACATTAAGATACTGAACAAGACAAGGATGTCTCTTCCCACCACTGCTAGTCAACACTGGACAGGAAGTTTGAGCCACAGGAATCAGGCAAGAAAAAGAAGGGAAAGGTATCCAAATAGAGAAGGACAGAAGTAAAACTATGCTTTCTCCAATCAGAATATATCCTATTAACAGAAAATCTCAGTGATCACAAAAGAAGCTACTAAACGTAATATGAGTCGAGGTACAAGGCCAGGGCCAAAAATCATTTGGGTTTCTAAACACCAGCATTCTGAAAATAATTACAGAAACATTAATCTTTGTAAATTACTTAGGAATCATCTATTTCTTCTTCTTTGGCTCTGGTTGTTGGTGCATATATCTGGATGATAGGAGTGTTCACTGGACTTCCTTGTAAGCATATGGATATAATCCTATCACTCACAATGTTGTACTTCAAGATGGACCTAGAAATTTCTTTTTTGACTATGAAAGCAACTCCATTTTTCCTCACCTTTTCATCTCCAGAATAATATATCATATGATCATCTGACTCGAAATGCCCCATGCCAGTCCATCTCATCTCTCCAATGCCTAGTATGTCAATATTTATGTGTTCCATTTCTTTCTTAACAATTTCTAATTTTCCTACATTCATGGAGACAGAATGACTGAATTTTGCACAATCAATGACTTATTCATTGCAAATATGTTTAAGAGACATAAGCGCAGGTTATACACATGGATTTCACCTGATGGTATGCATAGGAATCAGATCGATTAAATCTGTGGAAAAAAACACTGGAGAAGCTCAATATCAGCTGTGAAAACTAGGCCAGGGGCTGATTGTGGAACAGACCACCAACTACTCATATGCAAGTTCAAGGTGAAGCTGAGGAAAATGAAACCGAATCCACAGGAGCCAAAATATGACTTTGATTTCATACCACCTGAATTTCAGAATCATCTCAGGAACAGGTTTGAGGCCTTGAACACTAATGAGAGAAGACCAGATGAGTTGTGGGAGGATGTTAAATGTATCCTCCAGGAAGAGTGCAGGCGGTCATTACAAAGACAGAAGAGGAAGAAAAGACCAAAATGGATGTCAGAAGAAACTCTGCAGATTGCACTGCAATGTAGATAAAGTTTGCGTCTTAGAAAATTTCTATTACTTATACTCAACTAAAGAATGGGGATTAAATGAAATAAAAGTATGGATATCTATCCTAGTGACAATATATTAAGAGCCCAGTAAAAGATGCATAAACAGATGTGTTTCATCTCATGTTGTCAATGTGATTTTCAGGTAGATTTTCCACTTAGATTCTAATAACTGATTAATCAGATTGATTTGCAGTTATTTGGGTCAGACTTTTGTTCCAGATTGAACTGTGTCCCCCTACAAGTTTTCATGAAGTCCTATCCTGTGAACATGAAGCTTTTGGGAGAAAGAGTTTTCATTATACTAATTAGGTCATACCAGAGGAAGGAGGATACTAATCACATTTGAGAGAAAGATGATTACAGAATGCTCTTACAGAAAGGGCAGAGAAGACATAAACACATGGGAGAGAAGGGAGACAAATTAATGCCACTTGGGGACCACCAAGGTTTGCTGGCGGACACCGGAAGCTAGGGGAGGGGCCCATAAAAGGAACCCACAAAGCCAAGACTTTATTTTGGACTCTTATCCTGAACAACTGTGAGAAAATAAATGTCCATTCATTAAATCTACCCGCTTGTGACATTATATTAAAGTAGCACCAGAAAAGAGATTCTTAGAAAAATTATCATTGCTGAGAGCTGGAATTAATTCACAGCTGATCCTCCAGGGGGTTTTCAGAAGAGACTGCCCATCCTTCTGCTGAGCAGCTGGTGGATTTGAACCACAAGCCTTGGAATGGTGGCACAACTCCTTACCCACTACATCACAACTGGTACCTTTTGATGATCTGCGCCCATACCACCCAGAACTACTCCAAAGTCCTGAGGAGTTTCTTGATGCAGTCAAAACTTGTTATACCAAGTTCTGTTACACTAACAAGTTACTACACCAAATACTACTACATACATCACAGCTCACTCCAAAGGTCACAGCAATTTAGATGCTATAAAACAGGGCTATCAATAGCACTAACCCTAACTAATAACTCCTAACCCCCAGGCATCCAACAGTGCCACTAGTGTGAGCATGTACTTTGTGTACACATAACGGAAAGAGCAGTTCCCTCAGGGTTTGAGTTTGACTGCTTTTAAATTAACTACCAAGATTAGCTCATGCTGATAAACAAACAAACAAAAAAAACAAAAACAAAAAAAAAAAAAGGAAAGAACTGGGTTTCTTAGAAGCTCATGTGTCTCAAGCTAAACCCTTCAAGCTGCAGGCACAGGTATACTAAACCTGGCCAGCAATGAATTACAACCGCTGTGATCCGACGACCACGACATAACCAAAATAGAAACAGCCACCTCGAAACGAGATTAGTGGAAGGAAGGGACGGCAAGGAGCACGGAAAAGTTCAAAAACACACCAAGTAATTATTTACACATATCTGTGCCTGTGAATATAGTAATACTGAAAACACCTCTGTTATGAATACTGGTTGGATTAAACAACGACCGGTAACAGCATTTAACATATATTGGACCTATTACGTGCGAAGCACTGTTCGGAAAGGTTTAGGGTCATCGAACTCGTATAAACTGTTAACCTATGAGATAGACACTTTTATTCTCTCCATTTTAGAGATGGGGATCGGGAAATTGAAAGCCTGCCTAAAGTCACGGGGCTAGTACATGAAGGGTGAGGCTGGGGTTTGCCTCAAATCACTCTGTCTCCAGACTCCATGCTCTTTAACTACTGAGAGCTATATACGGCCCAAAGGAATGAAATACTTAAAATACCGGGGAGGGGGGGAGGGAAGGAGTGTCAACTTGACAGAAACGGCTCCCTTTTCTGCATTTAGTAACCAAGTCGGATTTCTACAGCACACCTGCATGCTGGGTTCTCTCAACTGTCACTTCGTTCCGGACAGCGCTGCCCTTTACCAATCTAGCCGGCAGGCTGGGCCGCCGCTCCAGCGGTAAATAAGGATGTTCCAGCATGGGTCCCCCTCAACCCAGGGGGAGGCTCGGGGTGCTCAGCAAGGAGGCAAAACTAAAGTCTGTGGCTCCCGCCGCCCACCGCCCGGCTCAGCCCTAGCCCCTGCCCGCAACATGCCGAAAAGCCAGTTCGTCTGGCTAACTGTTCACGTCGCGAGACTCGCCTAGCCACCCACCAGACCCACATGCTGCCTCACAGGCTTCTGGGCGGCGCTCGACAACACGCGAGAAAGGGCGGCAAGCATCTTCTGCATGGAGCGCAGGGTAGCGGCAGAGAGGGCTCCGAGACGACAGCCCTTGGTGTCCTCGAGTCTCCTTCAGGTCCCCGGAGCACACACAACACCTAAACTACAGCTCAGTGAAGGGGATTTAATGCGTCTGGTTTGGCCTCAGGCCAACCAAGACAGTTTCCTGGAAACGCCACGCCCCTTGGTACCTGCGCCCACCCCCATTGGCTATAGCGCCAGTAGAGGCGGGCAAGAGGGTCAGGGCGTTACCACGTGGCCAGGGGGTGATGGGGGCGGGACTTCAGGAAAGTAAGTGGAGCCCCGCCTCCTCAGTCCAGCTTCACGCTATACTCTGCAGCGCCTCCTTCCTCATAAATCAAGATTGTGCGCCCCTTGTGAGCCCAATCCAGCTGGGGCCGCAGATTTGTACCTCTGCCTGAATAAGCAAGATAATAATTAACAGCAGAGCCAAAAGAAAAGAGTATCTTGTTTCTATATATGCTTCTTTACAGCCTTGCATACAGCCTTTGGGGGTAGTTCCTTTATGGTCTCTAGAAGTCAGAATCAACTTTATGGCCAAGGGCTTGGTGTGATCTTTAGCTATGATTCAGCTACCTACTTGCTTTTAAGAGGTAACAGCTGTTTAGTAAACAAACTAGTATAATAATAATAAAAGAGATAACAGTTGTTGTAAAATACTACCCTGTCTACTGGAGCTGGAACCTCTGGGTGGCTAGCCACTGAATTACTACAAGAAGGCTGGCATTTGGAACTCAGAGGTTTATCAGCAGAAAGGCCAGGCAACCTGCTTTACAACACTCACAGCCTTGGAAACACGACGGAGCAGTTCTACTCTGCGCACATGGGACTGGAAACGACTGGAGGACAGTCCACAACTGATTCTCACTCTCAAGAGTGAAACTGTGTGATACAAAAAGAAACCCACAGAAGCAATTCTTGACTGTATTCAGAATAGTCCCCCAAGCAACAATCAGTGCGCCGCACATGCATGCATATGCACTCGAGCTTCTATTTGACCAGCTGCATGAAGGAGCTAAGGCCCTGGATGTAGGGTCTGGAAGTGGAATCCTTACAGCCTGTTTTACACGTATGGTTGGCTCTAGTGGAAAAGTCATAGGAATTGATAACATTAAAGAATTAGTAGATGACTCAATAAATAATGTCAGAAAGGACGACCCGATGCTCTTGTCTTCAGGGAGAGCACAGCTAGTTGTGGGGGATGAAGAATGGGTTACGCCGACGAAGCCCGGTACGATGCTATTCACGTAGGAGCTGCAGCCCCCGTGGTGCCCCAGGCGCGAATAGACGAGTTAAAGCCTGGTGGAAGGTTGATATTGCCAGTGGGTCCAGCAGGAGAAAACCATATGCTGGAGCAGTATGACAAGCTCCAAGATGTCAGTGTCAAGATGAAGCCTCTGATGGGAGTGATATACGTGCCTTTAACAGATAAAGAGAAGCAGTGGTCCAGGGATGAACTGTAAAAGCACCATCAGCTTGACCAGTCCATAATGCCCCAGTGGATTGCTCATCTCAGTCCTCAGCTTTTCGAAAACCAACAGCATCACAGCTTGTTTTGGACTTTGTTACACTATTATTTTCAGCATGAAAATGTGTGGTTTTACCAAGTTTCTAAATCTTAAAGAGGCACAGAGCCAAACTGGTAGAGGAAGGATGTAGAGTTTAAATTTGTGTATTATTCCTTTAACATGCCCATATTTTACTTTAAAATATTAAAAGAAGCAGTTCTACAAAATGGAAAAAAAAAAAAAAAAGAATAGTCCCAAGGCTGAGGGAATGTTCTGTCCATGTGGGATTGCCCTGGGGAGACCACATTCAGGTTTGGGCTCCACATTTTTTAAGAATAATAAACGTGAATTTTAGCGGTCAGGATGGCAAGAGAAGGAAGAATATGATTTGTGCGGAATGATAAGAACTTGGAACACAGACTGATTTAGGGTGCACCAGGTTTATGTAAAGGGCCCTGATGCTGCAGTGATTAAAGCACTTGGCTAGGAACTGCAAAGTCGGCCGTTTGAACCCATCAGCTGCTCTAGCAAGTCCCTCATGGATCTGTTCCTTGCCATCATCACTCCAGAATCCAGCCTACTGGAAAAGCCTCTGTATGGAACTAAGGTTAGCTCATAAACACAGAAGGAAGAGGTCACTTCAGCTGGCTCTTGAATCTTCTGCCCACAAGTAATATGTATCACTTCCCTTTTGCTTATCCCCTTGTGAGGAAAGAGATCAGAAAATTGGGGAAAATAGCAAGACCAGACAATTGATGTCATTGCATGTTTCCTAGTCTATCATGCTGTAGAAGGAGGCGTGCTCTCTGTGCACATATATGAGAATAACATGACTCCAGTTCCACAGATAGGAACTCTGGCGGCTGTGTAGTAAGGGGTAATACTGTAAGCCCAAAGGCAAATGATTTTAATTCACCAAGACAATCTCCTTCAAGGTGATTTACAGCTTGCTAGAGGGTCATTTATGAGTCAGTTTTGACAAGACAGCATATAACAGAAGAGTGCAAGTGACTATCGACAGCTTAGAGTTTCCATTATTGCAGGGAAGATAGAAGAGATCATAGAGCACATTTTAGCTTTCTGTCACATTTGTAATAAATTCCCACAAACTTTATGGCTGAAAATAACACAAATTAATTCCCTTTTTGTTATGGGAATCAGAAATCTGGAATCATTTTTGCTGAGTCAGAATCAAGACAATAGGGCCACACTGTCTGGAGGCTCTAAGCAGGGGTTGGAAGAGACCCACTTCCTTGTCTTTTCCTTCTAGTTGTTATTAGGTGCCATTTAGCTGATGTCTTCTCAAAATGATCCCATGTTAAGAAAACAAAACTGCTCCATAAGTTGGTTGGGTTTCCCCCACAAACCAAACATCTCACATATTAATTTGGTCAATCTCTTAATACGGAAACAAACAAACAAACAAAAACCACAAAGGAAGAAACTGAAAATTTCCCCATACACATTCAACTGATCAAACTGTGATGAATTTTGAAACTTCTTATGGTTAGGATGCCAGGGACCTTGGTATGATGGAATGTGAGTGAACCTGGGTGGGTGAGTATGTATATCATCACAGGCTCCCCTCAAAGGCCCAGCTTGATTCTTCTTCAAAGTCTCTTCATGGCATTTTACCAGATTTGATTGCCAGTTTCCACTGAAATCCTTCAGGGAATGGGGAAATTCTGTTTTTGATTCTTAGCCAGCAATCTGGATCTTGCAAGTCTTATGAGAAGGCACAGTAAGGATGGAAGTTAGGCACACTCAACATGATGGCAGAGAAAGGCTATCCCGTTGGGTTTCCTAGGCAGTGATATTTCTGGAAACACATTGCCAGGCCTTTCCTTGGCAGAGCTGTGGGGTGTGTTTGAGCTCCCTTACTAGGACATGATGTCCTTCTCCAAAAACTATTCTTTTCCTAATAATATGTCCAAAGTACATGAAACCAAATCTTGACACCCTCACTTCTAAGGAGCATTCTGGCTACACTTTTCCAAGCGCTCTTTCTTCTGACAGTCCATGGTATTTGCAGTATTCCTCACCAACCCCAAAATTACAAGGCATAATTTCTTCTAAGGCTTCCTTATTTATTGTTAACCTTTCTTTTTTAAAAAAAAATTTTTTATTTTATTTTTTATTATTTGTGTGTGTGTGTGTGTGTGTACCATCAAATCAGATCTGACTGGTACAGGAGGAGATTGTCCCTCCTTCTCCAGCAGAGCATCTGGTGGATTTGAGCTGTGCACCTCTGGGATTGAACTACAGCTTTATTGTTGACCTTTCTAGTGCATATGTTGTTGTTGTTAGGTGCCATCAAGTATGACTCTTAGCAACCCTATTAACAGCCAACCTGAAACATGCCCTATCCTGTGCTGTTCTCATCATTTCTGAGATACCAGAACCCATTACTGAAGTCACACTGTCAATCCATCTTGTTAAAGGTCTTCCTATCCTTTCCTGACCCTCCATCTTTCCAAGCACAATGTCCTTTTTCAAGAAGTAGCCTCATCTAGCTACACGTCCAAAGTATGAAAGAGGAAACATCATCACCCTTGCCTCCAAGGAGAACTCTGGCTACACCCTTTCCAGGATATAGCTCCCCCTCCCCCTCTCCCCTCGGCAGTCTGTGACCTATTCAGTTCTCTTCTCCAGCACCACTTCTCAAAGGCATCTCTTCTTCCACTGTCATCCTTGTTTACTGTCTAGCTCTCTGATGTGTAGCAGGTGACTGCAAAGACCATACCCTGAAGCAAGTGCACCTCAGTCCTCAAAATGACATCATTACTCTTCAATAATTAGAAGAGTTCCCTAACTGCAATCTTTCCCAGTGTAATATGTCTCCTGACTTCTTGACTGCTAGTACCAAGGACATTAAGTATGGATTTAAGCAAAATGAAGCTGTTGACAGTTTGAATCTCTTCACCATCCATCATGATGTTGCCTATCGGCCCAGTGGTATCTTTGTTTTCTTGACATTCAGATGAAATCCATACCAAAGACTGCATTCCCTGGTCTACTGCAGCAAGTGCTTCAACTACTTCTCACTTTCAGCAAG